TTTGACTCTCACACCGTAGAGGGACAGAAAGAAGTCAACTGCTGAGTCGCAGGGGTTAATCATCTCCGCATGCCCCACAGTGAGTGGTCCCAGTGACTGGGTTCATCTGGGCTCCTGGACCGCAGATGTCGGCTAATGACCCCCCCAGGGACACCCACGTCCGCAAGGCTCCTCCTCTTCCATCCCTTTTTTGTCTACCACCTGTCGTGGGCTTGTGCTTCGTCACCCAGCCCGAAACTTGACTGGCAGTCCTCAGGAGTTTTGTGGCCAAACCTCAGCCGGCAGGTGATGTGTTTTACACCCGGTATCAAGGGGTTTTTGATGAGAGGGAGTGCCTGCCGTCGGCTCCCCCTTGGCGACAGATGCTTGTCAGCCTCAATCATCCTTCCAGCAGCTGTTGCCCCATCTCACCACGGCTTTGCTGATCCAGTGCTTTCAGGGTGCCAGGAGGAAAAGAAATCGGTGGCTCCAACTCCTTTTTCCTTACAAAGACGTCTCGGGAGCATCCCGTACATTTCAAAACCAGCAGCTGGCATGGGGGGGGGAGGGAGTAGGGTCATATCCATCCAAGGCATTTATTTCATTTAACTATTCATTCAAAATGTTCCTTAATCACACTTGTCTAACATTATTTTTAATATTATCTATAAATTCCTTAGAGTCTAATAGTTAAAAACAACAATCGGACTTACTATATATGTATAAAAATACATATTATTTATTTATGGACACATACTTTAACATGAATGCTGTTGTGTATATTGTATTTACCTCTTGGTGTGTATGTGTGTGTGTGAGAGAGAGAAAGTGTGTGTGTATGTTTGTGTATATGAATGATAGATAACATTAATTTTAATGTGCAGTATTGATGTAATTCATGGTGAAGAAGACTATGCAGGGGGAAACACACACAAACACACATACACACACACACATACATACACACACACACACAAAACTACTCTGAAGGTTATAAGGGGAAATTCAGCTGTTGAAAACTCAGTAGTGATAGACCCAGCCTGACTTCTCTCTTACAACGGCAGAGCTGGGAGGGACCTATGTTAAGGAGGCCAAGTAGGAGAATCAAACTCCCAACTCAATGCCTAACCCACAGGTTGAGGTTAAAATTTCAAGTTCTCTGGCGGAAACCCTTTTGTATGTCCCAGCATGGAAGACGTTCAGCACACTTAGGCCAGCGGCAACATCAAATGTGAACCCAAAGTCACGTATGTTCATTCTCACTGGTGAGGCCCATGCCTAAGCTAGCAAAACTGCCATGTCCATCAACGTAAGCACAGATGAGTGGGCCAAATATACTACATACTTCAGCGGCTATAGCTTCGCCATGTAGGCAAAAATCATCTGTGTATTAATTACAAATAAATTACAGAAATTGGCATGAATAAGGTCCAATGGCTGTTGAAACACAAATGTTGTCTGCAGGTCACAGGTTACAAAAGTTAGAATTAGTTAAGCTTTTGTTTCCGGGGGGGGGGGGGAAGGTGATTGAAACACAGTGGAGGAAAGGAAAAACATGCTTTGGATGTTCCATAAGTGTCCTCTTTTGTGCAAGCCTTCATTGCACGCCGGCCCAAGGAAGCCGTATTTCCCCCTCCACGTTGCACACTATTTTATCTGAAAAGCAAACCATGGCTGCTCACAAGACAAAGTTCTTCTTGAGTCTCCTTTGAAGATGGTTCCGTGATCAACCAACGTGACAGGTGGCGTGGAACATACAAATGATCAGCAAACAGGAGCAATCGCTCATGGAGCGTCTTCACTTTGAATGGTCAACAGGAGCCCAACATTGAGGGGAAGCACTTAACTGATCTCCCGCTTCTCACTCCAGATGCGAACCCTCACCAGTCACGGGGAGAAGACGAGGCAAGGGCCTTGGGAGCGGAAATACCCGAGGAACCTTAACATTGCTGCCAGGGCATGTCTAGGCACCAGACCAAAGCCCGCCCTGAGAGGTGAGTGCCAACCAAGCTTCGGCTGCTGAAACAGTTCCAAACAGACACCCATCCGCCCCATCCACCTTCCACGCCTAATCCTCCCCATGCGAGCCAAAGAACACTGGGTCTAAAGGACAAAGGGAGGCAGGCCTCGGCTTGTTCGTCAAAAAAGGCACAAAACCCTTTCTTACAGGCAGAGCAGGAGCTGGAGTGGGTACGCACACCACACACACACACACACACACACACACACACACACACACACACACACACACACACACACACACCCCTTGTGAGTCCCAAATCTTCTACTCCTCCAAGCTCAACCCAATGATGAATGCATGTAATGGACATTACCCTAGTCCATTTTTCCACTGTGCATGTCTTACTAATGCAATGTAGGGATCCTGGCTGGCCTTAACTGTAAGGATTGTTAAAATAATGCAAGTGCACCTTGCAAAATTATTACGAGTCTGTGTTGTGCCCATAATTATGTAGGTGCATAGTTATTTGCTAACAGAGAGAGAGAGAGAGAGAATTTTGGAGATTGGTCTATTAACAGTTTTTTCGAGAGAGAGAGAGAGAGAGAGAAATATAATAAATATAATTTTGGAGATTGGTCTGTTAAGAGTTTTTTTTTGTCATGAGGGTTAAATAATCCCTCGATTTCCAGATGTTGTCTACCTCTGAATACCAGTAGCTGTGGAAGCCAGAATATCTAGGAGTTTGTTTCATGTCCTGCCCTTTATGGGCTGTGAAAGGTATGAGATTAGATAGCCTGTTCACCCCAAATCATTGATGATGTTGATTTTTTTTAACATAAAGAAGTCAATGAAGTGGTACCTTGTAGAGCAAAGAGACTTCGTAACTCCCTGGGGTTTTCATTTCAGAAAATCACCTCTCCCACAACAGGAGAAAAGTCCTGTGATATAATCCCCCGCCCAAAAAAGGTCAGAAGTCAGTTTGCGTGTGGGCTGATTATTAGTGAGTAAATGGTCTAACGTATCCAAAGCCAGCCAGCCAGCCAGCCAGCCAGCCAGCCAGCCAGCCGGCCT